TACAATAAAACAAAGTCAACATTTTACCCAAATTAAATTAGTGTCCATGTACATGAAGTCCTTCCCCGCCCACATCAACTCTTCTAAATCAATCAGGTAACTGGCACCAAATACTGAAAATCTGACTGCTACATTTTCTGACTGGTTTATGAGAGCAGATCCTGCTTTCTAACTTATCAAATATAACATCTTCTGGGATGCTGCACCATTTACTCTGGTGGATATTAACCGATGTTTGTGCAGAGTTTAATGATCCCCAGTGACGACATTCTTAATCTGTTGCTACCATCTTGATTTTTTTCTCCTTTCTGGGTGTTATATATTTAGTTCATAAATTTTCGGGTCATCATCTATCTTAATCATTCATGGTGCATGAAAGGAAATCCAACCTTAGAGCTGTATACACATAATGTATTCTCATCAGCAGACTTTTATTTTTGTCATATTCTCTTGAAAATCAAATTCAGTTTGCATTTATACAGTGTTTACAAAAATCTGAAGTACAATATTAATAAATAGGATCTGAGGTTTTCATGGCAGTGAGTCCAAATATGGCTGTAGTCTGGTGATGATGGCAATCCTTATGAGGAGCAATGACCTCTGAAATATGGTAAACTTGTACCAAACTACACAGCATCACACCACAGAAAACAGCAATCTCCAATATTAATAAAACTTTTTTTTTGCAAGAAGGTATGGTGAGCAAACTTACCCATGATGATCTGATACAGCTCCAATGATACCTAGAACCAGTGGCCAGCCATGGGACAAGGTCTCTCCTGCACCATGCAAAACCTGCAGAACGCATTCTAACTGGCGCTGTCGAACATCACCATGAGGCACTGAGGATAACTCTGACAGAGGACCCAGAAGTAATGTCTGAAGTTTCTGAAAACAAAACATAAACTTTCTAACACTGCACAAAATTATGAAACAGTTAACTTCTGTTTCTCTCTGGTTATTACAACTGATTTTGTTATCAACGATAATATTCTGGTTGTGATGCTGTTTAGACTTGTAGAAGGTTACCATAATTTTAGAGTAACATACTGGCTCCATCTTCAACCCTTTGGTGCCACAACCCAGACCACCGCTGATACCTTCATCACTGTGTAAAGTAAAATCTCAACTGATGCTGCTATTTTCAAATTAATACAAAGAGCATCAAATGCTGCAAACTGTGTGCAGTTATTTAATTGTATTTTTAAATCAGTGCCATATTAAGACCAACAAAGGTTTCTGGAACACACTGTAAGATACTATGATCTGAATCATATTAAAACAAAAAAATAACTGATATCAACACGCGAACACACCTGGTTGTCCCGAAGTGGAGGCTGGTATTTGTGCTGTAGGGCAGCCTTCACAAGGTATGTGACAGCCTCAACTCCCCACTCGCGCATTCGTATATGTGGGTGCTGACACACCTCAAGGAGGTGATTAGTAAGCGGTCTCCACAGCACCTCCACACGAGGCAAGTTCACCAACCCAGTCTCAAGTAGTTTAGCCACTGCAAACAATGATGGCTCCTGAAAAATTCATATCAACTTCATTTGCTATCCTGATGGACAAACTCCCATTACACAAACAGTCCTCAAAGATGAAAACATTTCTAATTACATAAAAAATATTTAAAACAAAAATACAAGTTACACTAACAGTTACAAACATGAGAACCACGCTAGCAAACGCCCCCCCCCCAAAGAGAGAGAGAGAGAGAGAGAGAGAGAGCGAGTTGTACAATTTAAGGAAATTATATTACCTCAGTTGTAAGTTCACATATTCAACACCTTTTTTTACTCATTATTACCATAAAACCTTTTTACTTTTAATATTATTAAAAACAGAGTATATTAAATAATACTGATGGCTGAATTCTTGTCTACAGAGGTATAGCAATGAGACTTACATTGGCAGCCCTAGAACACAAGTAAACAGTAGCCATCAATGAAACAACAGCATTTTACCTTCAGGTTAGGCTGGTGTAAGGTTATACACTGCAGTTAAGTTAGCAGCCTCTGGTAGGCATTTGGTGCTGTAAACCTCACTCACCAGGTGCATGTGTATACCAGAATTTTACTAATAGAGACAATTTCTCATTACAGGTCATACCTGTAACAACGAGCCTTTACTCTTTGGACACGATGTATTCTTATTAACAATAACGCTGTCACATCTTGAAACATACTGTGAATCACAACTTTCTTTCTAGACAACAGAGTTTTCAAAATTACAGCTCAAAAAAAAGGGGTTTCCAGTATTTCCAATCACTCAAAAAACCTTTTAAATTATGTTATTGTCCTTCTCATTGCCCTGAGCTCAAATTCTGATGCACCTTCAACCAATTTATCTTACAGACATTCGTAAGATAATCCCTATCGACCACACACACTTTGCTTTCATTGCTGCAAATGACAAACAAGTTGCTGCAGCTGAGACCAACATGAAAATAAAAGTAACAATTTCTGAATCATGAAGCATGCAGGATGATGAATGAGAGTGATATGCGGCAGAATGACAAATCATAAGGTGATGAAAATTTAAAGGAAAGGTTTTTGGAAAGTCAGAAGTATGACATTGAATTTTATACTTAAAGCAGGGTTGTGACCTGTATGCACTGCCACCCTATGTGAAAGTATTTAATGTCTGCTGACTCCCCCACACAATTAACTCCTCAAAAATAAACATGACAGACAAAGTACCAAAATCCACCGGCCATTATACTAAATAATGCAGAAAGCAGATATATCTGCACCTTGAGTGCTGCATAAAAGGCAAGATCTACACAAACTAAACTCCTCTTACCCTGTTCGAATATGCAAGTTCCATCGCTTCATGTGAGAGTTTGCATAAGGCATCAATAAGATGATGAAGAGCCACGTCGTCTAAGTATTGGCTGGACTCAAAGAGTCGACTCAGCATGGCAGAAAGAACAGGCAGATCAGCCATCACGGCAGTAGTTATTACAGCATTTGAATCAGCCGTTGTGCGCCCGGCCTTCAAACTTCCACCTGTGGAAGGTTTTAGGCCCAAAATCCAGACCAAGTGCTGGAACAAGAAAGACGCCCTTATTAATATAGAAAAACCAAAAGCAGGAGTCTGCAGAAATAAACATAATAATCTGAAGTACATCAACATTTATTATTGTATCCTAACTGGTTCAACATTTATTGACAGCGCAAAGCAACTTACGTCAAGTCCAGCTAGCCATGGTCACACTACAATGCTGCTACACCATTAACACCAGAGCTAAGTTGGTTGACATTCCTGTAGTTTGCCATTTCCTGTACAATAAAGGTTTATAGTATTTCTTAATTTCCATTTGGGCTGAAATTGTTTAAAATTTGCTGTCCACCAAATTGACTGTAACTCCAGATTCCACTCAGGAGCTCTCACCCAACAAACTTGTGTCTAAACAGGGTATGAGATTCTAAGGGCAGTGAGTATAAAGATGGCTGTCTTCTGGGTTGCAGCACCATGCAGCCTGGTTGAATTTTACCATTGTTTCAAAGGTGCACGCTGACTCCATCGATAAAAAAAAAAACATAAGGACAAGTACCTGCAGAGTGGTGAGCACCAGGTGCCAAGCTGTACCCAAGATGCTGCCGTGACAATGTGCAAGGCTAAGAATTGCCCTCATGCACTGCAGATTCTTGGCTGTCAGCATCACTGGTCCTTGTTGTGTGCCTAAAAAAAATTTCCACTCTGTAAAAAATAAACTCACAATCTAACAGTGTCCAAACAGTACAACATTATAAATGGCACATACCAATTGGTAACGATGCTGTTGGAAGAGGGGTGCCAACGGCCACTACCTGCTGGCGATAATCACCTTCACTGTATGAACTTAGGTTGTACTGTGAGCTGAGGTCCTGGCTTCCAGCCCTTGAATGATCTAAATTGTAAGAGAAATTATTTGTAACTAAAAGCAGATTTTAAAAGGTTTCTACCCATACAAAGTGCAAAAATTCCCTGTTTAAGACAACAAAGGTATTATATTTAAAACAGCTGCTAAATTATTAAAGTTTAGAGGGAGAAAGTGGTGGATTAGATCAATATAAAGTGTAATAATTTTCTTAAATCTTTACATACATTAATATAATATAAATGTAAGTTTCAACATACGTGAATTACTTAAGTGATTCAAACACATTTATAAACTGGATACATTCTTTAAAATTCAGGTTTCAGTTCAGAAGAGTATTTGCATTTACATGATTAATATCAGCTACACCTTGACATCTTTCTTTTTAAGAAAACATTTCCTGATTGATCGATATTTATCCAGTATTGATTAGGCCAAAGTAAAACAAGATTACAACAGCCTGATTTTCATTACTTTCAATATTAATCCCATTAATTATTTTAAATAATTTCATTCAAGTTCTCAATATTTAAATACTCGCCACTTTTAGTCTCTTTTCCACAAACGCCTTTATGACTTCAGATTCCGCTTATGCAGTGTCACAAAAACAAAACAGACGAGCACTTGCTGCTGCCCCAACTCTATTAATCCAGCTGTCCACCACAATTCATAGCATTTTGCTAATTCACAACAATTTTTGTAAAAATGAACAGCTAAACAGATTTGAACAAAACTCATATAAGTTGCGTAGAATATAACTAAGTATAAGTATAAAAGTATTTATTCTGTTTGGAGTTACATTCAAATTTGTTTAACCATTCATTTTTTCCAATGATTTTTTTGCACCACCCATTACAAAATAACACATGTACATTCAAATTATAAATATGGATATGAACGTACTGCACTCTATCCCACACTCTACTTTCTGAGACGCTGCTTCTTAAATACTGCATTCACCATGAGACAAAACCCACTCCAACAGACATGTTATTGTAATGCCAATTTGTAATAACTGAAACCTATCATTAGTACCTTTAATGCAGATAAGAGAAGCCAAAACTTACTCCTAGCCAAGCCAGCACCCAGTGGGGCTGCGTTAAGCACTGTCAGAGCATAATGTGGGGGAAGTGATGCTTTACATATTGCTGTGATGAAGGCATCCCGTGGAGTCTGTAGGTCCAGGCACCCACACAGGCTTGCAAAGGTTTGGATTGCTTTTAGAACATTTTCAGAAGCAGATTCATCTGTGCTGTAATCAAAAAGTTTACCAAAGGCTTATTTCTTAAACACTATGCACACTTTTACTGAAGTTTCACAGTGAAAAATACACTGAAATAAGCCTGACAGCACATAGCACTATTTAATCTCATCAGAAAATGAAAAGTCTGTACACAAAGGCTGCCATACCTTGTCTGATGCCATGAGATGAAGTATAAAGAACACCTTATGAATGCCAGTATACTCCAAAGAGTACGCCTTTCCAATCTCATTTCAACAAAATTTATGTTTAATATGTTGTTAAAAATCAATAAAATATCAGTACCAAGTTCAACTAAGACTGGAATAAAAAGATTAAAATTAGGAACCTGTAGACATTGCAGTGAGTAATGAATTAATATGGATCTGCTGCATTCATCGACTTTAATTCTGAATCGATAATGACAAACTTGTAACAGGATTTGGTGATTCTTATAGTTGCTGTGCAATACCTTGCATCAATTAGAGGACTCAGGGCTGCCAACAGACCACACCAACTGGAGTTAATTAGCTGTGAATGCAGTTCCCTCTCCTCTTCACTACCTTGATATATCACAGTTTCTGGCTCTTCACTTCCACTGGGAGGACCTCCTTCAATTGTCAGTGCAATGGAACGAATTATATCCAGCAGACATGCATATGCCACAGATATGCCATACCCATCAGGTATTGCAGGAGGGTCAATTTTGTCCAGCATTTCTAAGCTGTCAACAGAAACAAAATGGTCACTGTGGCATTCCATTTAGAGCACTGGATATAAACACTAAAATGAGGATAAACTTAAACAGATGAAATTTAACTATGATCTTATTGACCTTGGATCAGTTAAACTCAACATTAAATTGAGGAAAATAAAATGGATATTAAATAATTTCAGTCACTGAAACCACACGAAAGTGAAACATGTTTATGCAACACAAAGTTTTTCTTTTTGCATGTCAGAGACAAACTTCCATTTACCATCCACAAACTGGAAGAATCTCACTGTGGAAACAATTTTATATTCTACCAGCAACGATGAAGTTTAGCTGTACTGCATTTAGAGCCTCACAAAAATAAGTCACATTAAATAACACACATCTCCTTGCACATTGCAACTGAAAGGATATGAAACCCATATTTTACATATTCTAGACAATTTTTATAAATTTTCAATTTTAAAAATACATTCATCAGATCCACAAGTTTGTTTAATAGCACCTTACTATATAGTTGGTGCAACTTAATCAAGGTAAGATAAGTCGAACAAGTGGTCCAGATGGATGAGGCAAGGAATACATCATTTTGGTGGTGAAACCACTAGGGTCAAATACATGATGACAGATATAAAATGGCTAATGATAGGATTCTGTTGTAATGGTAGCTGAACTTTTTGTTTCAGTACTTACTATGTTGATTTAGCCTGACCACTGGAGAATGTAACAACAACAGGAAGCCACACCCCTCTAGAAAAGAAACCTGGCTGCGGGGAGATTCCAGGACCAACAGGCATGCCAGCAAGCAGAGCTGGAGGCTGTCCTTGTGCTACTGGAGCTGCTCCACCTGTATCATTCAAATTTCAGGACAAACTTCATGACCTTTACCGCCTTCATCATGTGGTGTTACATTATGTAATATTTTGTTTGATCTCACAATTAAGAACCAAAAATCATGTTGTTACACATCACAAGCTTTGGCTACAATGTGGACATTTATCAGATGCAATTAAGCATCATTCCAATTTAAGAACTTTCATATTTATGACAGTTTCTATATTGGAATAAGATCTTAATTATGTCTGAAATGCATGAAAACATAACTCTGTTGGCTGATAGTGAATGTTAACAAAATATTTCACAGAACAGAGCTATACCAGTAAAAACATCATGTCTCCAAGAAAATTCTTTACTTACTTAGTGGACACAACTGAGCAATAATACATTCTGAAGATAAGTACTATACCTGCCAGAATGTTTTCATAAAGGATCTATATTTGTTACATGATTCACCACAACGTATGTGAAAATGCCCCGAGCCGCATGTTGTCAAGCTCCGTTTTACTGCATACTGACATTCACATATCTTGCATTATTTACATTAAAAAGTTGTAAAAACTGTAAACAAATTATTTTCAAAGTGGGCTAAAAAAAAGAATATATGTTAGTGCACAAGTATGGCTGGCATATCTAGACAAAAAGTTATAACATATATGAAATTATCATTATAAAATATTTGTCATTAAAATATAATAATTTTTTATGCAATATCAAATGCTTTATTACCTCCCCCTACTGCAGTCTGACCCATAAGCTGAGGGTTCACAAAGAGTGACTGGACATATGCTCCTAAAGAATTCACAATGTCCTGAAAGATGTTTGTTGCATGTGCTTTTAAGTCATAACACTTGCAAAAGGACTTAAGCAACTCAGGCTGCACAGTCATCTTATGTAACACTTCTAGTGCCAGAGACCTCTGCCATACAGGTTTATCTGGATCCAGGAACTTCACAATCAGAGACAGAAATATCTCGCACTCTGTTACCTGAAACAGAATCACCAACACAGTCTGACAAACGTTGAGATATGATGAGGTCGAGTGATACAACGTAGTAAAGAGAGGGTGTGATGATATAAGATATACATATGCACAGAAACACACACATTCAATTTTTAAAGACATCATAAAGGCTCTAAGGACATACTTTGTAACACAAAGCTATTTCCAAAAACAATGATGCCTAATACCTTTCTACGATTCAATGACTGGACTATCTGCTCTGAAAACAGGACAGCATGACTTCCCTGAACACAGCAGATGCTTCCAGAACACCGAGAACAGTAGTAACTGGATATGCTGATATTAAGACAACATGACACGCAACATTATACTGGTTTCAGAGTTTTTCAAATTTAGGATACACTATATGGTTCTAAATCAATTCTCTGATTTCATATTTCCCCCAAGTTTAAGATTAAAATCTCCTGTCTGCTAAATAAAAGTATGGAGAGTCTGTTGAAAAATTTAAAATTATGTCAGGGCCAAAGAATCTAAAATCAGCAGCACAGGATCACAGTCCTGCATTTGTTTTTACAATAAGAAAGTGCCAGTGTTGCTAGTGTAAGCTAAACTGCCAGACTGCACTCACATTCAATTTTATGATGGTTTTTCTATGGGCTGTGTTCACTATTACACAGCATAGTTTCTTTTCACACTGTGAACAGCTTTGTTTGGCACAGAACTAAACCACATTAAGTTGTGTTAATTTTGACAATATTGTAATTGAAAGTAGCAACCAGCAGCAGAAGGGAGAATATGTGGCTTAGTACAGGAGGAAATGATTCTTCTTAAGAGCAGGGATGAAAGCAGAATCTCTATTCATGGTTCACAGATTTTCTAGGGTTAGGGATCTGCTGGCTGCACCAAAGAGACTGTATCTTGCCTTACCAAAAGACTGTGGTAACGTTGGATGAGGATGGATACCACACGCAGAAGTCTCATACTGATGGGAAAATACGGTTTGTCTAGGGGTGTTGCCTGTTGTATGCTGGCCGGAACAGAACTTCGGTACTTTATGTTCGGAGAAAACAACTTTATTACCAATGCGCACACACGCTCTTTCAGTAAAAAACTGAACTCAGGATGCTGGAAGAGAAATAAGGATTAATAACATAAAATTAATCAGCTGGTTCAAATGTCTGAGGTAGACAGCAATGTGACCTTATAAGACTACTTTTTTCCTCTCATGAAGGGAAAGAAGGCTAAAAACAGCAAAAGCTGCTTAAAAACATTTTGATTAAAATATTTTCCTTTATGATTTCTTCCCCTGATTCCCATTTTAATGTATAAACATTACTTTATTCCTTCTAATAATGTTATCTTTGTTAATTATTTTACAGATTATTATGATGTCTACTGCTATTTATTTATCACATAATCAATGTAAAAGCCAATAATCATTCTAGTGCTGTAAATTATTTAGGCTTTGAAGTTAGATGTCTTCTTGGCTGATGCATCACACAGTCTGGTAGAAGTTTACCAATGTTTTGGGAAGTACTTGCTGTCTCCATCATCAGATGATGGAGGTGGCAAGCACCTCTGAAACATTGGTAAACTTCTACTGGACGACACAGTACAACTCAGAAGACAACCATCTTCATACCCAATGCCATGAGAACCTGAAATGTCAGTAATTAAATTATGTAGATTTAAAATAATCAAGGATTATGTTCTGTACAAGCAACTTCTTAAGAGTACTTTATTCTAAAACTATTTAATTACCTGAAAGAAAGCTGATGAAAAATTTGTAAGCACAGACTCCAGCAGTTCTAGACCAAAGGTCCTTGTCATCTCTGTCATGCCAATCAACCAGTATGGCTGATCAGCATTCACCAGCTGAACCAAGTCCTGGAGGTAAAAATTATACTGTGTTACACACTGAAAAATATAAGGTCACTGCAGATATGGTTGACATTTTGGTAAGCAGTAATGTAACTTTCTTTAAAGTAACATAATTTATTTTTTCATTTAATTATTAATTAATTACAATAACTAACACTTCAAAATGTACATCAGTCATAAACTAATTATCATTAATGTGAGATCTAAAACTGCATTCTGCTGAGAAACAAATATTCATACAAGACTCAAGTTTCTGAAGCAAAGATAATGGAGCCAGTACATTCCTCCACAGTGTTGGTATCTGCCTACAAGTCCAAATGGTGTTACAACCAAGCACACCAGCACTGATAACAAACATCCACATTAATGTTTAAATAGGCTAATTCATTTTGTAAATGTTGATCCATAAGCCTGTTCTTCACTTAGATTTAGAATACTTACTGCAGCATTGTCCTGTATGCTGATTTTATTTGACAACATTCAATAATAATCACAAAAATTGATTAGGTTTTGAAAATAATTCACATCTTATCTCAATTACAGTTTCTACATGCTTGGAAAAGACCTGTGAACAGTTTGAAAGCATTGTTATGCTACTGTGACAGACAAATGTGAGCACACACTGAACAATAAATACTTTTTACTCTTGCATGACAGAATGATTCAATATGTCACTAGCCATATGTGTAACATATGAAAAAAAAGCATTACTGAGAATGTCATAGGGCTATCTGAGGCATAACAATGTAATATGTTCTATATTAAGTTGTCCTGATTACAGTGTGGTCAAAGGGATAAATTCTATAACTAAACACAGACATTTAAGAAACGTTACTTAAAGCTTGGTACAGTTCAACTGTTAGATTGTGTTTTGTTTCACGTTACCTGAAACATGAGATATGCATCTGCAGCACAGGGTCGGAGTCCTTTAGGCGCAACGTTACTCGGAACTTTGAGTTCCTCTAAATTCACCTCCTTTTTGGCTGATTCTTTTGTCCTGAAATACTCATCCTCAGCCACCACACGCTCGAACACCAATGATACCAACTGCCTCACTGTTGCTCCTGCAGTATTTATGGTAGTAGAATCTTTTGTGAAATGAAGTCTAAAGCAAAGCACCAAATTCTGTAACAATCACCCACAAATGGCTTTAGTTTCATGTCAGAAATGTGTTACAGAAAGATACTCTATGATCTGCTTATTCTTAGGTACTTATAGGCTAAACTCTGTTCAGTATTTATGCCACATAAACTTGCAACACACATATAAAGTATAAATACTATGTAATACAATATTTAATCAAGCATAAATGCATATACTTTTATTGCATTTCAAATTTTAATGTTATAAACCTGTGAAAATTTCCCAAAATTTTGGTATACATATAAAAAAGCCTTTGAGAGTAAAGTACTTCACTTTTGTCAACAAAGTGATATGAATATGTTTACCATCAGTCATTTTAGCTGAAGATACCAACATGCCTCATCATTAACATCACTATTTTATCATTGGACTGCATTACAAATGCTCTTTAACACATTACTAAATCAAATATCCACAGACAACAGTGCAAAAGATTCAAAACTCTCACTGTTGTGGGGGGAGGGGGTGTTTGTCTGAAATTATTTTAAAAAATAAATCCCAAATAACTTTATCACAACAGAGGAGAGCAAAATTATGGAACTAAATATGGTATATACACAGAATACCCAAACTAAAGCAGCGTAAGTTATGTGCATTCTGTGTGTAACAAAATTTATTTTACAAAACTTGGTGTCTAATCTGTCTGATATTATCAACTCTGGAACCAATTTGTTTCTTTCTAAAACTTTTTCTTATCCACTCAGGATATTTTGGGTAGCTTCATCATCAAATTGAATAAGTAGAAAAAGTTACATTCAAATTTTGTCCACCGGTAAGAAAAAGTGTTTTGCAGACGGACAAGCTTACACCTAGAGCACTGCAGATGGAGACAGCATGATCCTCCAAAATGTTGGTATCCACCTAAAAGTCCATTTGACATTGCAACCAAGACCAACATCAACATTTTCACTGCCATAAGAACCTCAAATCTTATACAGATTCCACCTTTCAAATGGTTATGTATGTATGTATGAGTACGTAGTATTATTTACTGAACAAATAGCTGTGAAAGACATTTCCTTGAAATAATGCATACTCTAGCAAGTGTGTCTCCATGCACCACTGTGTTTGTGGTCAGCAGCAGTGTTACACTCTGGAGTACTTTCACCTCCTCAATGCCTGATTCCATGAGCATCCAAAGTGTATCCGTAATATACCGGGCTCCCTTTTGGTCCACTGCCTGTTGCATCATCAGTTTCTGTACCACCCCTAGACAAATCTACAAACACAAACACTTGTAGATTAGTATCTTTACCTGAGGTAGACAAACAATCAGTAATCTGATGAGGAAGTATTTGCTAAAATGTTATTGCAAGTGTTATGGTTACATATAAAATTTCCACTTACAAAGGTAAAAATGTTTCCTCATATGGATATTTAACAGAATGTGTGCTCAGAAGCTTTTATACATCTAAGGATGAACTGAGAGGTAAAAATCAAGCAAGAAGTTCCTACTTACATGGATCACCAAATGCTTACCACCCAAACTTTCGCACCAGAATTGATCCAGCACTAACAAACCCCACCAACATCTGAGGCAACTACATACACATGTTTCTCTGATCTTATGTTCCTCGTATTGATGATGACAAATTACCTGCTTATTCAACTTTGTTCAGTACACATTACACAAAATCAAGGACAAAATACCAGAAACAGCTGTTCTGATGTAAAACCACTATATCAACCATGAAAGCATCATACGTCATCAAAATTATTTATCTCTGTCTTTCATAGTAAAAATTCCAGGGCATGACTATTCTTCCTTTCCCCCAGAAAATATATTTTTATGGCGCACGTTAGTTAAATGAGCTGGAGTTTGATCCCTAGCAGGGCAAAGAACTTTTCTTCTAACCTCTGTATCCAGACTGGCTCTGGGGCCACCCAACCTCCTGTCCAATGGGTACCACGGCCTTTTCCTGAGATTAAATTGCGGCTAGGGCATGACGCTGACCACTCACCCCTATCTAGTGGCAAGGTCAAGAACAAGTAGGAACTATACTTCCTCTCCTCTCAGATACCTCCATGGTATCTAATATGGCAGCTTTACTTTACTCTTTAGTATAAAGCCCTCAAATTATTACATATGCACTGCAGTACACTGAACATGGGCCCTCCATGCAGTGCTACTGCCCGCTAGTCACCGTACGACACCTTGATCTGGGTTACCTTCAACACTGAATCAGATGATATGACCCCACTGCAAGGCTTTCCAGTTTGGTGCACTCAAATACTCCACAGAAACATGTATGAATAATTTCATGTGTTCACCAGTGCATATATTCCAGTTTCACACATCACACACTCAAACATGTTTAAATGGGAACATATTACATTAAACACCTGTATCAATACAAAGGCAAGAATTGGTGCTTTTATCAAGTGATACTACTTTTCATTTATGGGTGGAAAGCATTTACTGATCTTCTTTCACAGCAGCTTTTGTTTCAGTCTGCCCACATGAATTTTAAATTGCTCAGGCAACTCTGTACACACACTAAAAACAATTAACATGTAGCCACAAAATAATACAAATAATGCAATTAACTCTGTGTATGTGCATGTTGTTTAAATGATAAGATATTGCACTTCTTACAATAACAATTTTGTAATCACTGAAAACTTGCAAATGAAAAAAAGAACTCGGCTGCATTATCCATACACTATGATTCCTGTATTTTAGTCCATAAAAAATTAGAAGTTAATGAAAACTACCAGAAATGCTGGTCTCAATTTCAAAATATGCAAAAAACATGAAATATAATTATATAATTCTAATCATGAAGCTAATGGTCTTACCTTTACAATCTTAGGGTCTTTTGTTTCACAGCCTTGTACTAAGGGATAGAGAATTTGGTTGACTATGTAAAATACTGGTGTTTGAGGGTTTGCACTGGCATTTCTGAGCTTCACAATGCCTTCCTCACATGACTGCAAGCAAATCACATATTAAGTCAACAATTAAATACAAATAAGTACAATTGTGAGAATTTATAAAGAAAACAAACACTGTAATGGTGTACATTAAACAATGCTGAAATAAGAAATAGGGGAACATCAGATATTTTGTTAAAATAACCAAATTGGTTATTAATCGCTTCAGTTTTTCTCCATGTGTCTAACATACTTACAAGACAAAATACAACACATCTACACACAAAAAACTTGTAAACCTGAAATACAAACTTCGAACATAACCCCTCTTACTCTAAGGAATAGGGGTCAGACAAAACCACTGATTAATGCAGTATTACGTTTAATTAACTTACTTCTTTGATCTGAGGGAACTTCTTTTTAGTCTCTATGGATAAATTCTTCAAGTCATTTTGCAAAGTTTCTAGAAATTTCTGTGCCGTTTCGTTCCCTGTTGTTCCACTACCACACGCCATTTTAAAAATTAAAGAAAATTTGGGATATATATTACTACAAATAGTATGTTTAGGGCTACTGTCTAACACACATAAATGTTCATTCCTGTCACTTTGCAGAATCACGAGAAATTATGAAAATTAACCTTGTTTCTAAATTTCATAAACATTTTCTTTACAGCTGAGTTGGCAATGCACAACACAACCAACAATATTAAGAGTATTTAGTCAGGTAGACCAACTGCAGCGGAAGAAGGCCCAATGAATACACTGCATATATTACAGAATCTAAACATCACCAGCTTGGGTTCTCATGACTATAGTTACATATTATGTTTATGTCACAACAAATTGCTCACAGTTTGGGCTATTACACCTTTTTGAACTTGGAAAGTTCCAGCTACAATCATGCAGAAAAAGTATGATGAATTTAAAGAGAATTTTGAAAAGTGCGTAGTATATTCTCAAGGGTCAGTTTGAAAGGTCGAAAGAAAATAAAGATGAAGTTGTGTGGTTAGACGATAACAAAATTACCCTCGATCCTCTGTGCACATTGGGGATAACCGCCTGTATTAAATAACAGAAGATAGGGTGGATAGATTTTCTTTACATTTGGTGGGGATTCCTCCAAATTCTTAATTTTTAATATCCTCCATGAGAATATACCGAAGTGACGGATGCTCAAATTCGTGGGGTGATAGGATGAGCCTTCGCCATAACACGTACCAATGATCTTCAGCTACGAGTGACGATATGAGACCATAACTTAGAAAAATAGTGCCCTAGACCTAGGCATGTCGATTTTGAGGTTTTCACGGTGGTGAGTCCCAATTTGGATGTCTTCTGGGTTCAGCGTCCTATAGTCTGGTAGAAATTTAACATCGTTTCAGAGGTCTTTGCTGCCTCCATCATCAGGGCGATGACTCATCGCGCTGATGATTGAGAAAGCAAAGACCTAATGACTACACGACACTACACCCGGAAGACAAAATATCTTCCGCCTATGTATGTAATCTATACCCGGACGGTCGTATTTTGGTCATGACACAGAAGCAGGATGATTCAATCTGTGGACGAGGGCAAAGAAATTTTTAATTTTAATCTAAGATGAATTCTGTTATCGATGATGTTAAACTGCATTGTTATCACGGCAGGTGTCGTAATGAAACGTCGGTGAAATGCGCTTACAGCTCCATTACTAGTATCCGATTTGTAGAATAGCATGTCAGAAGACGAAGAAGTGGTGTTTGAGGTAAAAACGTTTATATCGTGTTGTCTCCTGTCATATCAGGTTATGTCCGTCGTCATATGTGTTATGACGTGACGCCGTGTGGACTTGGTGTGTACCAACATTCCGGAGAAACATGCTCCCACTGCCCCTATAGCCCAGAATTATGTGGTATTAGGTTCCTCCAAATCGTTGGTTTTCACCATTAAGTCCATGCGACGTTAGAACCCGTTAGATCCCCTTGGCCATCTTCACAGCCGCAAAATCCCCCAAATTTCACTTATTAGTTTAGGTTATACCAATTTAAATTGTGCAGTTAAATCTCACCGATAATTATAACCACAAGCCCTTTGCACATTACCATGTACCACTTCTATTATGTGGTCAGAATCAGCATGCTAATATTCTAACACATTGACCCATTCTCAATTTTATGATTGTTAAATGTTGCTACAATAGCACCTGTTGAAGTACTCTTGAAACAGTAATTTCATTGCAGGGGCATGAACTTCATAATTACTTATGCCAACAAGGATTTACAGATTTTGAGGTGGTGCGATGCAGCACTTCAGTTCAGGATCCTGAGACCAAGAAATCTGAAATTGTAAGGCACCAGGTATGTTGCCAAATTAAATAAATGTACTGCAGTAACAGTTGTTACTGTTCTTTCTATCTCTACATTGTCGGTGTTGGTGTCATCTTTAGGGCTGAAGTGCACTTAAACCCTGGAGATGGAGATTATGTTTCTCCACAATTATAGTCTCTACTTAAAAGTCCACAAAGCAGTTCAACCCAGAACATCCACAATTATAGTCTCTACTTAAAAGTACACAAAGCAGTTCAACCCAGAACACCAAATGCTGACATCTTCACCACCTTCAGAACCTCAGATCTCACATATATCTCAAACATAAAATCCTACTTCACATATGTCTGTATATCATTTTGCTCTTGTATGTACCAGTGCTTTATATATGATATTCCTGAATTGTCTTCAGTATGATCAGTTATTAGCTAGTAAAACAAAACAGTGACATTTTGAGGTACAGATTTTAACTAACTAACTACTAGATGGCTTACAGAACCTGAAGGTTCATCACTGAACTCACTAATCCTAATCCTTGGAAGAGAACAAGAATAAAAAGAAATAACAGTGCTATCCAAAAGCACTCATGTGGATTAAATCAACATCAAAAGAACATGAAGCATTCCACAAATCAGTGCAGCTGCAAACATGGTTCTCCAGCTAATATGCTTGTAATTTTTTATAATTTCATTGAGTTTATCAATTCTCATCCTTTAGACATTTTTATGTAACCTGAACATCATCCTGTGTGATACACTAACTTGAGATAAAGCACCCTCATGCTGTATGCTTCTGGTATTATTAAGGATGTTACATCAGTATTATACATGGAAGCTGTGTAGATTACTTTTCAAGAGAGGCCATTAATAGGTGGGATTACAGTATATTAGAACAGTTTTTAATCTGATTGGAAAATAGCTAGTAATTGTCTAATTAGATGTGCATTACAGGAAGAAACCCTCCCTGCAAATATAAAAAATCCTCAAGTTATGAACTTCTATGACAATCTCTTGTATTATTGTAGTGAATTTACAGTTGTTTTTTTTTCAAAGTTGTGGGCTGCTTTTAAAGGAGTGTTACAACCACTGATACCAAAATGGTGGATGCCACATAAGAAGGTACAGTATTTGAGTGTTATTTTCAGTGAATAATTTCTTGCACTGATATCACGAGCTATTGTAATTATAATAGAGCCTCACTAAGACTACATAAGCTTGTGTATATGAGGGACACCTTCATAACTGTGTGGATCACTGTGCTCTTTAAGCACAGCTGTGCTTTCATCAGTCATTAATTAACATTTGCTTATTAACAAAGTACACCAGTTAAAGTCTGTAGTGGCATACAATGGAAACATTATTTCAGTTCTATATTAGTTTACTGATATCAAGTATAATGAATATTGTTATCATATAAAATATGTATTATATATACTTGCTATTCATTGTAGACATGGCTTGTTGTTTGTGATGTAGAATTTTGAAAATGGCTGTTCTCATGAATTTGTTTATATATTAAAAAACTCATTATTGGAATTTTCTTTGATAATAATACATCAGATCAGCAATAAATTTGTTATTGTGTTCTTCATATTGTTGTATGCATGATGCAAGTTACATTTACAGAATTTGCATTAATTTATAAACATGTTACACATGCACACTTTATGAATCAGTATTGAAGACGGTTTCATTCACAGAAATTAGCCTCCCTTCAGATGGAGATAGAAATTATTTTGAGGAGTGGATTGTTGTTGGATGATGACAGTCACTTTCTGGAAAGTCTTGATCTTCCAACAGATTTTATGAATGACAAGCCATTGTGGTGAGTTAATTTAAAAATAATTATATAGTATGAAACTTACTCAAAGGAACTGAAACTCCCGTTGTAGATGTTATGTACTTGGAATGAAAGGAAATTTTGAAATAAATCAGTATATTTATGTTGTTGGCTATTTTTTCAAGCAAAAAATGTATAGAAACATTCCTTGGCAAAAAGTAGTTCACAGATTTTACAAATTAGTATTTTAGAATTCTTTGAAGGAAGACAGGTGTTAGTAAATCTAGTGACTCCATTTCTGCTTATATTGCCATGACCAGATTTTTTCTCAACGCATATTTGTTTTTAGTATTATATTCTCTTCATTTCATTCACTCAAAACCTCATCATTTTTAAATTCCATACCAAACTCCACTTTGTCCATAATTTTGCTTTGTCAACACAACTCTAGCTTTATATTTGTTTGTCTTCCATGTTATCTTTCAAACCATTTCTATTAAAATATTCTTTGCACCAAAACAAAACCAATATTTCAGTTCATTTATGTCCTGGTTATATTATTTTATTATTTGTGGCTATCTAACAAGTAGGTTCATGGTGAGGTATGATATGGTGATACTGATATGAGGTGCATATACACTGATGAGTGTTGTATTTCACCTATGTATTGTATGTGTATCATCCATAGTTAAAATTCATTACTTCCTTCTAGGACTGAAATATCCCTTCTCCACGGAATATTACTTTGTGGTACCATGTTCATATGGAAGAGAAAAGTTATTCATGGACTTTTCCCAGTTCTTTACTCCTTGCTTGCTGCAGAACACGTCCTCAGTAATTGGCACTTCTCAATGCAAAGAACCAGGATGTCTGATGCAGTGACGAAACTGCTCAGCTGCTGTAAAGATCTGTACTTCCTTCAGAGAAAGTCATTGCATTTTGTGCAGGAGAATGAGCTTCTTTTCAGGGGATTTACACTGTAAGTGGCAACAGTGAATTTTATAATATTATTTATAATTGCTATAAAAGTAAAATAATCATGCTGTGCTAGAATGATGATAAACATCTTCATTTAACATCATCCTTTACTGTACAGGAACAGGCAATTTAACCCCCATACTATGGGCTTGCCAAGAGGCCTTTAACTTAAGGTCAATACTGACAGACATTTCAGATGTGTGTACCAGCTCCATCATCAGGGTGGGGAGCACTCTGAAATGTCAGTCGCTATCTACCAGACTACTTAGCACAACATTGCAGAAAGGAATGCATCTTCATGCAGTTTATTTGTCTTCCTTCCACATTTTACAGAGCAAAGACTTCAAGTGTAGCATTTTGCTTAGAAAGCACAGCTGCACCATGTCTGGCCAAGAAGTGGTATGTCATGTCAGGTCTCAGAGTGTTAATTGCTCGGTCTACACTTGAAGCTATAAATACCCTGCAGATCTGTACAAAAACACTTGTGATGAGCTGTCCACTGTCTGGCCAGTTGGATAAAAGTAACCATTACTTAGCATTCCTTGGCAAAGAAGGACTGGGGATTGCAGAAATCAACACTGATGAAGGTACTGAATTGCCACTTGGAATACTGAAGGTAAACACAATGTTTCAGATCTAATTATTTAAATTGTATAGTGTAATTATAAGACGTCTACACTTGTGGTTTACGAAATTGTTTCCCTGGACCACTTGAAAATTACTGAGGGTCTTGGCAGATCATTTAATTATTTTTGTGCCATTTGTTTAATAATTGTAATGCACTGTGCTACAGATGCTGAGTAATTTATTCCACAAACATGATGGGACTTTTGTTAATATAGAGTATAAATTATTGCAGAAACATTTAATGGCTTATTAATTATATCTTTTTTCAGAAACTACATGAAGTGTATGTTCTCCTTCAGTCAGAATTCCTTAGGCGCCTAGCTCTTTGTTTTCTAGTGAAATTGTGGAAAGATGCAAGACAGAATATACTTCCAGTTTTCACTCTTGTAAGTGATGTGTCTGCTAAATTTAGTGAATATTTAAGTAATTTGAATCAGGATTATAAATTCTTTAGTTGCTATGGTTTAAGTGCTGTTGATGATACGTCTTTGAAAATGCCTAAGAGGAAGCCGTGGAGATACTTCAATGCTTATGTTGGAATACACAGTGCGCGATTACATCTACAGGGCATGCTGCATAGAACAAAGGAGATTGAGGAATTACTGGAAACTCATACTGATGAGACTGAAGCTGCTGAAAACAACACACTTTCCCAAAATTTGAAGAATGCATTAACTGACATTGTCACAGAACTTCATTCTTGTACGAGTTGTTTACAGGTAGCAATAAGTCAGTTTTCAGTGCTGAATCAACCATCTGCACAGTATTCTGCCATAAAGGCATCTGAGATATTAAACCATAATAAAAGTGAAGAAAAACAGAAGCCTATTGTAGTGGGGTTCACTGATTTAGATCCCCAAATAGAAGATGAAGTTTTTGAAGCAGTTATCAGTCATGGTAACACTGGCTTTGATGACGATGATGATGGTAATTTGATGTCTCTAAATGCTGCAGACAGAATTAAATGTCAGCTGGAAAAGGAATGTTCTGACAGAATGCTTTTGGAACTGAAGACAGTTCTCATTCATAAGGCTCATGAATGGGAAGAGAGAGAGGCCAAGGCACTCAGAAAAAAAGGTATACAGAGTGCAGAAAAGGCAGATATTGAAGACAGAGTTACTGTAGAATCATCAGAAAGTGTCTTGCATTTTGACCGTGACTATAACAGTGGAGCAGTACCTGAAAGAGCAGATAGGCATGTCAGTCTAAGCGAACGGCTGAATCAGGGAAAGATTGTTGCTGCTACGCTAGAGACTATGGAACGTGACAACAGCATAGTGAATGATCCTTTCACTTCATTAGCAATGAAACCAGAAGGGAACTGGCCTTTACCAAGACTAAAAACAGGAAAACTATTCAGTTCTGGTATTGTAACTTCAAGTAATGTTGAAGCATGTCACACAGCAGGAGAACACGTTAAGACTTTGATTGTCGGGGCTTCTGCAGTTCAACCTAAGTATGCTGGCTATGATGTCAGTGAAGAAACTTTCAGTGGATCAGGTGAGAACTCTAGCAGCAGTGAATCAGAGAACATTGACTAGTAAAATATGGTAAATAAATTATTTATATTATTTATAATGCATGACAGTTTATTTTTTAATCATTCATGGAAAACAGCCACTGGGGATAAATCTGCATTTCCTATAAAAGACTGGTAAAATGTAATATTTTTGTCAGATATCATGTCTTATTCTGTGGCAATAGAAACACTTATGTTTAGTGAGAAAGATTTTACAAATACATTTCCTATTAGAGCATTCTTAACATGTTTAGGTCTTAGGGATATAATAAACTGAGTTTTTATACATTCAGCTGAAGGTAAGCATTTCTAGAGTGTCAACAGAATTATTTGGAACAAGCCCATCTTATAACAACATGCAATTCAGTATTATTGCAATTATTGCCTTATTCTAAATCCTATCATTCTAATACTGTAGTTGACTGTAAATTACTGTCATTATTTTGTAATTTATTTATATATTAGAAATAAGTATTGTATTTGTGCTATGACATGTTGTACATCCTTGATCTAAGCCTATGAAGGATCTATGGAATGTAAATAAATTCTATTCTATTCAGAAACTTTTGTCATAATTTGTATATTGTCACCAGGTAGGAAGATTTCCCCATTGTACATAGCCATTAATACACTTTTGAAACCAGTTTCGTCTGGATGGCATTGTTCAGTGATACAGAGCATATTCATTGGCAGTGATTTATACTCGAGCATAAGTACAAACAAGCACATGGTATTTGGTACATATTATAATATTAAATATGCCTTAGTACAGTGGGACAGACTGAAATAGATTTTGCTTTCATGTTGATTACCTCTCTGATTTCTCTTTATATTGTCTTATAACAGTTATAGTACAGTGTGGAAAATGTGTCTCAGCAATGTTGTTTCTTTAAAAACATTTTAATCTACTTACATTAGGTAGTGTACAATATGATATGATGATTATAAATGATGAATTGCAATGGATGTTGAAGTGGAAGGAAACAGCCATGATGTAAAGTAAGGCACTGTCTGTAATGTGGCTGGAGAGGCAGGAAAATATCAACAAAGAAACCTCAGGATAGCTGAACTCCAGGCCTTGAATTTGTGCTCTGAATTTCATGATGAATACAAAGCAGTATGAATCACTGGTGGAGATGTTCACTGAAGAATGTCATTAATCTTTAGCAGATTTGAACATGCATTACACTTGTCCTCACAACATTTTACAATCATATACAATAACAGTAAAGTGAAAAGGGAACAATGTGCATTTAAATGTATCTACTCTAGTCATTCAGTGGCCTCATTCGTTTTTGGTAATGTATAATGCAGTTTATGTGTTATGACATACAGTTTTCATATGGACTGTGACATTTATTTTATGGCAAAAGCCATAGACTCTCATTCGAGTTGTGACATGTTTTGGGTAATGGTTTATGCCCATCCTTCACATATCATAACTGAGATATTTGACTGCAGTACTTGAGTCATGTCCTTTGATCATTATCTGTCACCTAGGAAAGTTATTTGTACTGATTGTTTTTATACATAACCTAAAATTATTTTGCCGATTTGCTATTGTGGACGCGCTACTTCGTGTATCCTTCATAGATGGCAGTAATAAATGTGTGACATACTTGAAACTTCAAAGAAGGTTAATTTTGGTTTTAATACCGGTGGAAATTGGAATGTCCTCTGGTTTAGTACCCTGTGTTTGAAGGTGGAGGCGATGGATTCCTCATACATGTGGATAACCAGCTGAAAGGCCAATGGCGCCAACCCAGAGGACTGCACTATGTAGAAATGAGTTTAACCTAACCAAAGAAAAGTAGTTTATGGTTTTCAGGTTCTCACGGTGGTGAGTATGAAATTAGCTATTTCGTGGGTTTAAATTAGATTGTTGTCATGGAGATGAAAAAAGGGGGCCTGTTTTCTTGTCTGTCCATCTGAGTCTTTAAAAGAAAGTATTAAATCATTGTCAGCTTTTTAACGACTTAACACATTGGCTCTGAAGTAATTTTTGTTAAATTTAAATTTTGTTCCAGGACCCACCAGTGACCCTTATACTACACTGGTAAAAAGAAAACACAACTCTTACTTTATGAAATAAGTGACACTCCAGTGGCTTTCACAAACCTCATGCATCTTTCCTGCCCCAGCTGTGGTGTTAGAAATGCATTATTTCATGTAATGAAGTCTGAACCTCCATATAAAATATATAGAAACAAGTATTATAATTGTGCTATGACATGATAATAAATTTTAATTTTCTATAGTACTGTGACCCTCAAGGGAGCCAGTGTGTTAAGTCTGATGCTTGACTAAACATGTGGTATTTGGCTCCATATAACTTTGTTTTTTCAGGTATACATGTAAAGATGGCTTTAAAGCCTCCAGATGCAGAATATGTGCTGAGAGAAGAAAGAACTGTTCACAGCTTATTATTCATGGGGGACAAGCTGCTTGCTGGCACTGAAGATGGTGTGGTTTCTGAATGGAACCTTAAGACTTTTCGCAAAGAAGAGACAGTGCTCAGTGCAGGAACTTCTGCGTGTATGGCCTTGAAATTACTTAATAATACACTTATAACCCAAGAAAGGAAAGGCAATGTAAATTTATGGATGCCTCGAGAGTCCTGTTGGAGTGTATCTAAATTTGTACATCTAGATTATTATGGATTTAGTAAAATTGATGTTGCAGAGGATGGAGGAGGAATTGTGATCTGTCCCAAGAAAAATTCAGGTGTTGAAATGTATTCTTTGAAATCACATTCTAAAATTATGTCATTTGAGAAAGATGATAACACACTAGGAGAAGTAATGGCATTAAAAGTAATTCATGTGAGACAAGAGCCGTACCTCTTAGTGGCATATGAGAGTGGAGTTCTGCATATGTGGGATTTTAGAATACAGCGTGTAGTTAGTTACTTGAAAGATGAGAATTGTCTAACTGCTGTAGACTTCAGTGAAGTGACCATGAGTGGATTATATGGTAGTGTATCAAATTATGTGGTATTTTTCAACATCGATAACAACTGCTGCCTTGTCAGAACACAAACGAAAGAAATAGTTAACCCTGGTATTAACAGCATAAAGATACGTCCTGATAATAGAATTGTGGCTTTGGGATGTTGGGATGGACGCATACGACTTTTTTCATGTAAGTCTTACAAGCTGTTGGCAGTATTGACAGAACATTCAGCAGAAATCAATGACATTTGTTTCTCTACAGGACTTCCTGTGCATTTCATGGCAGCAGGGGGGAAGGATAGAAAAATCTCTCTATGGAATATATATAATACATCTTTGTAGACCTTCTTATAATGTTTTTCAATAAAAGTTTTTTCTGTAGTGTTCCATAAGTTTGTCATTACCTTCTGTAGAAGTTTCCAAATTGCACCATTCAGTAGTAATCGACTGCCTGTGTTGCGATATTTCCAGTTAACGTGCCCAATTTTTACGAGAGTTCTCACAGTAGTGAAAAAAGTCACTGTTGGTCTTATGGCTTGTGACATTGTGTGAACTTGCAGGTAGATCCCAATATTTCAGAGGAAACTAACACCTCCATCTTCAGAGTTTAATTCCAAACAGCATTACTATCCAGAAGATCAACATCTTCATTTAATTTATGTGGCAGACACCGTAAAACTCTCTCTGTGCAAGCATAACAAGGGCATTCGTTAAAACAGCATGGAGGTTGTGGACCAGATATTGCATGCAGGATATTTTCAAATGCCTAAAACTTCATCTATAATGCAAATGGATTTAGTAGTACTAAATAGTGCCAATGTATTCAGTAAAGTCATCCAACATTAAGTACAAAGAGCAGAATCAACAAACGTGAAGAATAGGATTCCAGGGTCTCATGACAATGAGAATAGTATTGGGTCATGAGACAAGAATGCGATCTTTGAGAATGTGTGTCAGCAAGCTTTCTCAACATTCATGAGCTGTATCTTGAAACGGAAGTTCTGTGAACTATTAATAGCAATCGGACCAAAAAAATGCACCTTTTATGAAAACACAAATTTAATAACTGCCTTTGGTACTACATTTATGTACAGTCTTTATAACCTTTGAACACTGTTTGTGTATGAGCAATATCCAAATCCCTGTATGTACCAGCCTACATATGACAGTTGGAGATCAAAACAAGACACTAAAAGGAAGTACTTTCCTCTCATTCATATCCATAATTATGCTTCATTACATACTGGATGGTACAAGAAAAAAGTTTTTTTAAAATTAATAGCTAAATGGGTTCAAATTAAAGTCTGTAGCAGCTGTACAAAAATTTGTATTCAGTTCAGAGTTTCATTCATGTCAACTGAGCCATTTATTTTTTCCATTGTTAAATATTCTTTGCACCACCCACTATAATGCTCTTGTGAAACTTATTTTGTATATTCAGTATTTGAGTGGTACTCACATGGACACAACTTCATGTAGAGACATGAATATAATGTATGAATGAGGAACACATACTGACAGCAAACATGCTGTCTGTTTTGGCAGTGTTCATGTACAAAATTTTCTAATCAGACACGCATTCCACATTATACGTAACTACCTCTACTCCAACATACTACATTTGTAATGTAAGGTATTCTCCCATGCTATGTGCAAGATGACTGTCCTCTAGGTTGTAGCGCCATGACGCAGGACCTCTGAAACATTATAAACTTCTACCAGACTACACAGCGCTACAACCGAGAAGACAGCCATCTTCATACTCACCACTGTGCGAACCTCAAATCCTTCCCATGCTATTTGTTACATTTTTCTAGGCTTATACTTAAGATCTTTTACAGAATAAGTCCTGAGACATTAAAGAAGCTTTTTTGGCAACACTTAAGACACTTTCAATCCACCATGCAACTGAGTCTTGTAAAAAAGAGTTTCATTTCAAAAGTCATATTTAAACACACTCACTTTCCAGGGCATTTGAATTAAAATTCAATTAAACACTGCATTTTATTAACATGAGAAACATAACAATTTAAAAATATATTGTATATACAATATATTTCCCAAAAGATTTAAGGCTGAAAAAATTAATAAATACACAATAAACAAGATTTATAATACAGTCAGTATTCACATACACACCATGGAGACCAATCTACAAGTCTCTTCTATTGAGAATAGCATCTTCAATAAAGAAAAGAGAAGTAAACTCAGCAAAACAAATGCACTGTTATTTCTAGCACATTTTAATAGTGCAGAATGGTAATCGTATAAAACATATTACTGGAAGTATTCCATTAAAATCTGCTATTTCAATCAGAGGAATGTTATGCATGAATACCTTTTGAATTTATACCTAGTGATAGTAAGAATAAATTTTATTTTTCTCCTTCATTGACAATAAATGGTACAAGACCAACACAGTCATGTGTTATCTGAAAGCACATGTGACTTAATTAGTTCTGCTCACAAAATTCTCCACAAAGTGAGTATATACACCTCTTTATCAATGATCTCTATGCACTGTGAACCACATGTTAAATTTCCCTCCTCTCCTACTTTTAGATGGAAAAATTATATGTATTCCTCCTGCTTCAGCATAAATTAGTCTGGTTCACTTTGGTTTGAGTCTGCACTGGATCCATGTGTTCTGTACCAAATTTAGCTTTGTAACTGTATCTGACTATTTAAATTAAAAGTTCTTTGGATATTTTCCATTGTCTAAAATAATAAAGTACACAATAAAATTGAAACGTTTCGGAGATGGGGGCTCTATCTCCGTCTCCAGGTACATACTCTGTTGGACCCAATAGATAGAGCAGATTTTACCAAACAAAAGTTAATATTACCAAAGATGAAAATGGTTATCTGTTTGCAGACCCCACAGGGTTTTGAATAGGTGGAAAATGTTCATGATATTACACAAATAGATATAAATATGGCTACTATACATCTGTACTCCATTTAGACATACAGTACTCTTCTTTCATGGCTCTACAACCCAGATTTTGGTCTTCACCACCTCCTTTTCGGGGGTTTTCCTAGTCTTTGAAGTGTGCATTTACAAGGTGTGAGTGACCAGCCCACTGCCTCTGCACAATTTCTACTTGATCCTGATTTATCTGCTAAAGCCATCTAGTAGTGAATTAGGAGAGACTTCAGTGAAAAATGGCCACTGAATTTTGCTTTTAAAACATATTGTTCATGCTAGTAGGGTTCTTTTACATGCCATACATCTACGACATGGGACCACTGGCTTTACTTCCCCTCCAAAGAAAGTTGTGCTACGGATTTTTATCACCCTTAAAAATCCATCGACCTCAGCCGGGTTTGAACCGGCAAACCTTGGGTCCAGTGGCTAGCACGCTAACCACTAGTCCACTGAGGGCGACAGACATACAGTATTATACCATCAAGTTGTTGTGAAACAAAGTATAAATTATGTGACACTTCTTTTATAATAAAAAGGAATAACAATAAATGACAGTATATCAAATCTAAAACTTCTTGACGATGGTGAAGAGTCAATTGAATAAAAATTTACTTGGATATTATCCATCGTCTAGTAATAAAACGTAAAACGACGTTTCGGAGATGGGGCTCTATCTTCGTCTTCAGGTTCCTACTCAGTTGGGCCATCTCCGAAACGTCGTTTTACGTTTTATTACTAGACGATGGATAATATCCAAGTAAATTTTTATTCAATAAATGACAGATTTAGTAAGATTATCTCCAGTGACAGATTTATGCATCTAGAAGGTGAGGCCAAATATAAAATTGAAGTTCCACTGCATTTATAAGGATAATGTACATTTAAATACAAGAAATTTATCACAGATTCAGCACCAGATTAAAGAGAGTAATACAGTACTCCAATTCAGATCATCCTACCATGGCACAAAGTGATAGAATTCTTCCACAGTTATGCCAAAAATATTATACAGCTGCAAAGGAATGGAGAATGTAACACATTTCATAATATACATTGACATCTACAATAATCCTTGTGTTTTTTACAACTGATGAGATTTCTGCTTCACATTATTCAAGATCATACTGTATAACTGTACAGCTTGAGATTAATCAAATTATGGCATTTCTTATTTCTTGTCATGAAGGAAGAAGGATCATATAACATCATCTCAACATAAACTTTTGTAGCTGGACAAGTCTGTGGCTTGTTTCCCTAAGATATAATCTAAGTTATGAAGGACATCAGTTTTTAAAATTTATATTTCACAAATAACATGGGCTGGCAACCCAACTTAGTGGAAATTTCTGACCATCTGTGGTTACCCAATAGGAGAAGAATTGCTCTCACTTGAACTAGTTGTTTGACCAAGAAGTGGACCAAGTTCCAATCTCTTTCTTCTTTTTCTTTAGCATTTGTCTGGAGGTTGCTTGATCTATTTAGACATTTGGTAGGACTCCTTGGATGAGTGATCAGCCCATCGCAAGGCCTCTACCTGTACAACACAAAAATATGCGGACAAACATCCATGCCTTGAGTGGGATTTGAACCCATGGTCCCAGTGTCCGAGCGGCACAAGGCCCACACCTCAGACCACGCGGCCACTGTGACCAGACCAAGTTCCAATCTAGCTGACCAATTAGAATTTGCAGATTTAAACAAACTAAAGCACATCATTGTTTTAAAAAAGAATGTCTTTGTTAGCGTTGCTGATGCTAAAAACACTTTCAGCTTGGTCTTGGTACACAGTGGTCGCCCTTCAGTGCCGCTGCACGGATAAACAGTTTCAAATTATTATTCAACTTATCCAAGAAATGGCCAGCAGAAAACTGATTCAAGTTTTTTTATGTGAAATTCAACTCCAATAATAATTACCGATTTATTTCAAAACTGCGGCACGATTGAATGCATACCCGTATCCGAGACGACCTCATGACTCCACTAACAGCTAGCCACGACCTTAAACATCACCTACCCCAGTTTACCGTTACCTAACCAATAATGGCCCCAACCCTGAATAAAAAAACTAAAGGTGATAATGAGGAGGTGTTTAGGGTGCACTTTGCTTTTGCTCCATACTTGGCTGTGATCAAGTAGCACAGTATCATACATTCAGTCCAAAGTCAGGGGCTTCATCATCTCTGATTTAGCTGGTCTTGAAGTAGATGAAGTATATCTTTAGTAATTTAAGTTAATATAAGAATCATATAATGTTACAGAAATGATGATGTAACTGCACAATCAATACTTTATCAGGCATTCTGTCTAGACATATACTAATGCCTCATAAAATTAATGTTCACAGTTCTAAAATGCTAGGAACCAATTTACACCAAAAGTAGACAAATTTCTTTTATTCTCCAGGAATTTTTCTGAATTAACTGCATTTGAATGAAATGTAATAACTTAAAATTGTCTGCCCCAAAAAATTAATATAAAAGGAAAGATTTTGGTGATATTAATTTTTTGAACAGTATTGAAAGACTATTCCACCTTCTCCAGGTCTGCTATACCAACCTGGGTGATTTTACAAATATGAAATCATTTGCAAGGTTATTCTCGTGTACAACTTCACTGTGAAGCACATAACCCCTCCTTTCAACAAACTCTCTCAGAAAGTCCTTTCCTTTTTTCACGTGTACAAACTCCACTGACATTGTCTGCAACATAAAAACAGAGGGAAGACAGTAGAACAAGGTAAAATACAATGCCCCTTCCAACTCTGTGACCTTAAACAATTCTGTCATTTTAACATATACAAAAACATGTTTAAAAGAAAATGTATGATGTATAAATTAAGTGATAAAATATTAATTATAGAATTGGAGAATTTTCTTATGGAACTGTTATGAAGTTACCAAGGTTACCTTTTTCTTTTCAATGGAAGCTACAAATACAGCCAGATTTTAGAGAAGTTCACACAACACACTAATTTCAATAACTAGTATTTTACTGCTTAATGTATACCCCATTAGACATTGTGTACATTTTATTTGAGACATTTGTTTGTATTCGTTAAAATGAGAGAATTATTTGAGATCACAAAGTTAAGTGGGATGCCTGTATATTATGAATCATCATTATGTGAACCCAATTTTATATAATAAAATAAAAGGACTGCTGAATTCACAGAGTTCCCTAAACCTGGCTATATTAGTTGAACCATGAACAGCACTACCATAATTTTCACTAATAAAAATAAAAGGAGTCCATTAGTGAAATTCTGTTACAGAAACACAAGTGAGTGATGATCAGTCAGTTACAAATGGTTATCATCACATATGAAAACTGAACAAAAGCAACTCACTCGGATATCCAGCTTTTCAAATGGTATCGTGTTCAAAACTTCAAGTTCACTTCCTTCTACATCAAGACTAAAGTAATCAACTGTTGTTCTATTCAGTGCCAGCAAGTAGGAGTAGAGAGGAAAACACTGGACGTCCACGTATCCGATCCCTTTGTAACCAGGTTTAAAATCAGATATCTTCCCAACATTGAATGCCTGTTTGAATGAAACCTGTCAACAGACATATAACATGCAAGTGATGGATTTTGTTGAGATATTCATGAAAATGTCTGGTATATCACTTACTGTGCTTACATCAGCTCCTTGCATTTAATATTTAGTATCAACAATATTTATGATGGGGTAATCAACAGAATGAATGGCAAGGAAAATCTGAAATCACAATAAATAGCACATAAAATGATGTGGTCTTGAATGCCAGTCTATATGACGACTGTGTGCACTAGCATTAAAAATAATGTTATCTTGATAACACAAATAAATTAATCACGTACAAGAACAGAATATTCTGGTTTCTAAACATAGTGTGATTAAGCAAAATGTACAGAATCAGAAGCCATCAATTCCAAATACAATTTCAGTTTCAGCATTACAGGCAATGCATGTCAACTACTCACTTCTATTGCAGTATGTTATGTACAAAATTAATAATGTGACTGACCACACATAATAAATATATCCTTTGATCTTGACAAGTGCTTAAAATCAAAAACACCTTTCAAAGCATATCATATGATGTACAGCCATGTTGAAATTTAAACTGGACACAACTATAACAAATATTTAATTACATAAATATTTTAAGAAGCCTCCAAATACAATTCTAAGAGTATGTTATGGTCTCTATGAGCATTATTCTGTGTCCTGCTGCAGCACAGTACAGGATTTAGCCTTCTTCAGTCCACAAATTCAGCCATCAACTTTGGACTGTTTGAAAGAAGCTCATTAAAACATGGCCTCACAATAAAAACCCCATGTGCCATTGCATAACAAGACACAAATGTATTTTAAAATCTCACAGACTTGCCATTATGGGGTATGGCTTGATGCTCAAACAGCTGGGAGACAAGTATGCCTTCCTTTTCTTCATTTCCATCATGGCAAAGTTAAGTGGGTCAGCCTCCACCAGAAGCCCACTCCAGTTCAGGTGACGCTCAAAGTACAAGGTGTTCGATCGAGTTTCACCATCCAAAGCCCCACATTCCACAAAGAAACCTTCAGTCTGCAAGAATACACAGTCTAGGTTTCGAAGTCAACTACTTTAAATTTTATTCGATTTTGACCTCTAAGAGCCGTGACTTTTGTTGTCACTGTCTGAAGTCTTAAAAGTATAAGCACTACTAAATTTATGCAACTCAGATGTAAGTTTGTACACATTATCACTTTTTTGTAATATCAGCAGCACACTTTACTCCTTTCCTCAATCTAATTTCTTAATTTACACTGCTTTTTAATTCTTAAAGTATTGTCACTGGAGACTACACAGAATTAATATTCCAGAAGTCTCAGAATTTATGTCAGTATGAAATGTGCTTGTCTATTGCAGGACACCACTTTCAGCATCTACTGTAATAATAGGTATATAAAGTAATTTTACTGAAAACACTTCTGCCTATGTCTGGATGAAGCCTGCAAATTAACTGTGCAACAACGTGTGACATTCTTATCCAAAACACTCTGTCCATCAGCTGGCACCTTGATGTTATAAACAGGCAGTAATGAGGCTATAATGGAAGGAGTGAACCTCTCTATATGTTTCAACATAAAATACACTGAACTTACAGTGTTCTTGTCTCACCTTCCGAGACAGAACTTTCAAGGGGGAATCTATCCCAAAAAGTGTGAGGCATGTTTTTATACAGTCCTTTTCGAAGGAAAACATGATAAATACAAAGTATTTCACTCAACTACAAATAAATTAACAAGGTTTTACAGGAACACATTCACAATTCATGGCACTGACTTACCTTGTTTCCTAGAATATTAAAAACTTTCTGAGCCTGCCCCATGGATGTGTCATTCAAATGTGGGAACTTCAGTTCATATGGTTCTGTGCGGGATGATGGAGGTAATAGGAACCTTTCCTTAATTCTGGCAATAAGCTTAGGGTTGTCCATGCTTATTGCTGGTCCATTTAAATAAATCTCATCTGAAAAAGCAACTGCATAATAGAAACAAAAAGAGTAATAACAACAAACAGAAACATGCAACATGTATTACTTTCAAAAATAACATAATTTCAGGTCTACAAACACCTAATTGATTTTCTGTTGTTTTAATTGAAATTTATGTCACATAGTTATAAACATTAAAATAAAGTCATTGAATGAAATACACACTATGGTTTCATACTTTCTTAAATATTCCCACTACACTAAAACATATTGTACAAATGGCATTTAAATCAAATGATCTCAACATCAGAATGCAGTGAATGTAAATGGAACTGTGGACACATTAGATGCGGATGAATCAGGTGACTGATTAGTATACATCAAAGAAGAGTAGTATAGGTTAGGTCTGTCTATTTAGATCTGATTAATTTTGATTGAGTTTGATAAACAAGGACTGGGTCTCATGAGGTAATATTTGGTTATAATAATTACAATAGAGTGTTTCAGATAGTATAAGTTATGGTCAATTTTAACTCTGTAAGAATTGGGCTGGGAGTTTTAAACTCCATTTTCCACAATTAACAGCACCTATAAATTCTTACTCTTTCACACCTTATGAAATCTTGGCAACATACGTCTACACAAATATATTTATTTTCTGTCACAATCTTGTTTACTGACTTATACTTTGACTCAAATCCTGCTCAGACACTGGCTGTCCCGTCGTAGTCTCTCTAGGCAGAAATCAGGATGAAAAAGGCATGATCACTTCCTGTCATATCCTGTCCCACTCAGAATTCACAACCATCCTACGATTATTTCATTTAATGCTATACAACCTCAGAAGTTGATATAATGTTATAAAATGACCAAATAAAAATAACAAGACAGTGAGGTTTATAATGGCATTATGTTATCACAGAGTGAAATAATTTTATCAATCATACTGAGATATGATGTTCTGAAGAAGGTGAAGAGGTTTGTGGTCTTCTGCATTGTCACACCATATGGACTTGTAGGTGTGTACCAATGTTTTGGTGAAACATACTGCCTACATCTTCAGCTTCAAAAATGGGCATCCAAAACACTGGTACCTACCTACAAATCCACATAAGACCATCAATGTCATATTGTACATGTTGGAATTAAGAAGAGGCACACCAAAATTTGAGGTGACTGAGGACAAAGAAATAAAAGTATAAATAACTGAGATTAATATGCAAGATACAAAATTTTAAAACTCACCTGAACCAGAATAGTTGTACCAGCGACTTGAAACACTGGCATAATACTTCTCCGTGTGTATACTGTATGGATCATTAGTGTTTCCCGAGTATGAATAAAAAAAGATGAAACTCACCAAAACCACAGACATGAAAATTATCTGAATTTTCTTTCTTATATACATATTAAATGCCTACAGTTATGGTTTCTGATTGGGCAGTTATTCTTGCTGTACCGCATAACCTAAAAAGTATAGAATTTGTAAATATTTATTGTTCTCTGTTGGTAGGACAGCACATATGTAGAGTTGAACAACAAGTGTGAAATTATAGTCAGGAGAAATGTGGGCAGGTGTGGTCACAGTCTGATTAGTGTCATCCTAAAATCTGCATGCAAGTATGAAAATTACAATAATCTAGGTTATAAATATGACCACAAATTTAGAACCCAGTAATCAATCAGCTGAACTGTATCCATGCAACAGTCAGTACTAAATACGAATCACTATCACAGCCTCTATAAGATTGATATCAGCCATACGTTGGTATTTCTTTCATCAATCAATATAAATGTTCCTGTCAAACCAACATATGCAAGAGCAGTAGCAATACAGTATGATACATCAGTATAAAATTACAAAGTGTTAAATGCAGGTGAATCCTGCATACAGCATGTGCCTGTATTTAATACTGTGTAATTTTAACTGCTGTATCATGCTGCATTGCTACTGCTCCTGCATATTGCATTGGTTTGAGGGAAAACTGAATCTGTTGGCATGTCACACCATGAACAGATAAAGTGCATACACATGATCAAGTATTAGTCACACCAGAGATCTTTAATCACAAATATTACTGAAACTGGAGGAGTAATATGTTAATTATATCAAAAACAGATGCACTGATCATATCATTTATCCTAAATCTAGCAGTGGTGTAATCAAATACTGATATCTTTTACATGGGAGTTTCAGAAACAATTTGCTATCAAGATTTTATTAGTAACCAGCTGATCTACAGCATCATATCGTAGTATGCCAATTTACTACTACACACATTTGCTAACTACTGCCATACTGGAATCACAAAATGTGCTACTTTTCCTAACGTTCTTGTTATGATTATCCATCCTACTTCACATTATGAAGCCAAAGTCATAATTTACACATTCTATTACTGGCTTTTGACAAGTTATGCGTATCTCCCAGGATTCGTCAATTCTTAGCATGTTGGTTAAATATTACGCCAATGTTCTAATTTTTCTATTAAGAAAATGATTTTTCCAACATCTGCAGTCTTTTCTCCACTGTCACGTTTGGATGCCAGATGAACAGTTTCCTCAGATTTCTAAATCATGTTAAATTTCAGGTCTACCTAACCCAACCTTACCAAAAGCTAGCACGGACTGTGAATCTATATTCATGGGGAAAATGTTCCGAAATGGCAGATATAGTCCCACTGTGTCAACGTGTGTATACATTACATTTAAAAATTATATAAATAAAATACTCATCCTAAAAGAACATATTTCAACAGTCATACCTTTCACTTCCTAACACAGACACGTAGTTTACACTTTCTGTGCAGTTAACACCGACATACTTACATAATGTGCAGCTATCTATCCGCATGTTGTGAAGCTACTGTAAGAACGAACTGATGCCCGATCGGTAAAAACGTTACGTACTATACAACATTACCACCGCCCTCCTCAAGGGCTATAACATTAACACAATTTCAAACATCCTATGATGACTGTCTTCTGGAGCATTGCACCATGCAGTCTGGTAGAAAATGACCGACGTTTCAGAGGTGCTCTTGCAGTAAAATGGAAACTACGTTTCTTTCAAACATTGGCATTTTCTGACTAGTTCACAGTGCCAAAACCCAGAAAAAACATTTTCAAGAAATTTGCTACTAACATTTAAACATTCACAATCCACATGCAATTACTGCGAAACAAGGATAGCTAAATATCATAGCCTACAAATTAATAAACTGAGAAAAACAAACTGGACAGTATATCAAAAAAGAAAGGCACAGCCAAATTTAAGGTGCTACACTGGAATTTGCCTGGAAAGACCAAGAAAAACATAGAAGCATCTATTAGGATAGCCAGCTTCTATGCTGAGATCTTAACTTAGGGCCTTGCGAATATGAAAAGAGCGCTAACTGCTAACAAGACATTTGATTTCATAAATCACTGTCAGTATATGGGTTAAGAAGAAAGGATATGGAATAAAAACAAAAGGATGAATAACGGTAAAACCTAGCACAAGAAATCTTTCACATGCTCCAGCTGGTTCGTGTGTACATTGATCACCCTTACGGCATTAAAGGGCTAGAAATCAAGGTGTTTGGAGAAAGTAACATGTAAATAAACTAATATGCTAGTCATATAATGTTAGTAGTTTTATTTTGAGGCTTACCAAAAATTAGACAAAAAAGTGTCATAAATTTAATAATATACAAAATTTCTTAACCCATATAGTGTTGATACTAATATCTAAATGCTGGAAAATGCAGAACTCCTTAAAATTAACACAATTCATCTCAGATTTCAGCAGCATGCAGCAAAGGACCATAAACTGAGCAGTCATATTACTTGTATGAAGTTATAAAAATACTGAGGTTACATGACAAAATCATAACAGGATTTGCAGACATGTTTCCTGTTTGACTATACTGAAATATTTTGGTAATACAAGGCAATATGATCACCAATGTTGGATCTCATACCACAGTCTACAGTGATGTATCCACACTCAAGCACTGAAATGCCATAAGTAAATATTTAAAAAAACACACTTTATTTCAAGTGCAGAAAGAAAATTAATGCATAAATGTACAAACTGATGTGTTATATGGCTGTGCTGAAACTAGTGAAGTCCTGAAATGGACAGCATGTTTCATACAGGAAAACACTGCACTAGCATTTCATCAGAACATTATATTTATAGTGCACATTTAAAATAACAGAATGGTGTCAAAATTAAAATATGCCATCGTGATAACTGGAATTCAATCAAGACACTCAAAATTAAAATATGCCATCGTGATAACCAGAATTCAATCAAGCACTTGTGTGCAAATCCTTTCACTGAATCTGTTTCAACCTTAATTTTGTGATAAAATGGCCGTTTTAGCACATTGGCTCCAAGAAATGTTTGCAAGGTATAAATTTGTCCTGTGGGTAAAAAGAATTCTTTACTGCAAGAACCATGAGACACTTCAGTGGCTGTCACATACCTCATACATCTTCATGTCCTAGCTGTGGTACTAGAAATGCATTATTCCACTCTTCTTTTGACCAAGTTACTAGTTACTATATATTTGATACTTCCGGCTCCACCTGCTCCACTATTTGGATATAAAAGTTTAAACTGAATTTAAGAGTGTGCTAAAAAGTGTGATAAGATGAATGTACTTGTGAGTTAGCCACATGTTTTGCTTGCAAAATATTTAAGATGTGTGTTCACATGTATAATGACCTTCATATTGATGTTGACTGTGGCCTTCTGGGTTATGATGCCATGTGATCCTTGAACCACCTACACTGAAACAAAGCATCACAACTCAAAACACCACAATCAAAATTTTCACTGTTACAAGAAATCAAAATTTCAGATACATTCACATCATTTAAAGATTATGATAAAATAAACAAGTACAGGTAAATCTCTATAGGGTGGTAACATTCTGGCCAGAATGAAAATTCTGTTAAATGCAACATAGAAAGACATTACAAAATCAATTAGTCCTGAAGTGCTGATCATGCATACAATACCAGTCACAACAAAATGAGAGACAAAAACTAGGAATAAAGATTTTCTTCACAGAATTCACAATTTACTTCAGAATTAGAATATGAGGTTGCATTTTGTGACAAACTAAATTTCTTGTAAGACGTAATTTACAGCAGTCTCTCATCCAAATTAAGATGATGCCAATTTTTTGTCACTTTGTTATTGTGGATACAACAACAAAAGCACTCTCACCCAGTGACTAGATGAAAGAATTCTGAAGATTTTAACAACCATAACTTGACTGGTACAAACCTGGTCTGATGCAATGTGTAATAGTGTCTGACTTGACAAATACATAAGGTGACCACCTTGCCAGGTCTACCAACAAATACAGTACAGAGGTTAAGTTACAAATAAAAACCAATGCTTACAACATTAAGTTCATAAGGGAAGGACCAGTTCTGAGTCAGCAATACAAATATTCAATCATGGTTATAATAAATGACAAAATAGACAAATATGGAAAATGGTGAATAAAATACTAGATTCTTAACATAAATCTGTAAAAAATATGAGCACAATGTCTATTCCCTCAACCACTTGCTATAATGATCTAGTTTGTGCTCCCAGAATGCACTAAGCCATGTAGAAGATGCAGAAGTGTGCTCTTAACCTCATCAATAAAGTGTCGCTCACACTGAATGGACAGAAAGTTGGGTCAGTCTACGGACCATTCTGGACATGGCAGTGAAAAGAAAAACCCCTACTGGAGATCAAACATTGACCTATGACCTTACTTACAGCAATCATGGGCCATGAACTAATCTCATCTGTTGAAATACATAAATAAAATAGCAGTTTATAAAACTGATGTATATTCATGTCCTGTCTCAGTTTAAAACCCACACAATGTTTCAGAAGATGGTGCTGCTTCCTTCATCAGTTAAACAACAAAGATCAAGTGCTAGAGACAAGACAATATAATTTTATTGTTCACAGCTGATCTTTGCTATTTACAGTTTATATCTTGACTAGAACTGCTGCTGTTGTCCAGGGGTTGAGATTAGATTTTTCCAATGGACTCAACTAATAAGGCTGCTCACCAGATGATAGAAAGAGCCAGTTTCTAAAATTTTGCATTCTTTTTAAACTAAAATGAAGGAAAATGCCAAAAATACACATTGGTTTAATGACACACCTCTGTCAAATACCTTTAGACTAGTCTTAGCAGAGTCTATCACGGCCTATATTCTTAACTGAACTAGCCAACAAGAAAGTTGTAAAGGCACCCCAGGAAGTGAAATGTGTAAACCTTCAGGTAACATTTTGGTACTAAAACTGCGGTAACGGAACATATTCTGAATGTTTTATCAAATAAACAAAATTATAACAGAGGTTTCTCTTTGTGTGATCATATCAGGAAAAATTGCCAGAGGTATCAAAATCTCTTGAACAATGTAGAGGATAAAGATTAATACTACGCTGACCAAAAATGTTTCTTTTGATGTGATGGACCAATAAAAATGAAAGCATGCACAGAGGAAAGTCACAAGGATCCAAGAAACGACTTAACTTTTCTATCCACGACATGACCAAGTACATGTTTGTTCCATGTGGGTTCAGATCTGAATAGATGTTACTTCACTGAATCACAGACATGTCTAAGTACATTTTTGTGAGTAGCATTCAAAAACACCACATATAATTTCTGAACCAAAATAAAAGTTATAAAAATCTTAGAACTAGTTTCTGTCTTGAATATACTACTACAATAATACCAAACATACAAGGTACAATCTGAATATCAAATGCATATATATTAATTTCTGAGTGTCCACAGTCTTACAGAACAATAATAAACTGAAAAAATACTGCAGGTTCAGACAATCTGCACTTTAATAATGGTTTATTATAGAACCTGGTCCTTCCCATTAATTGAAGAACACAACAGGCTCATTCGCTCATCTTCAAGCTACACACTACTTTGCAACATTCTCCTGTAATCATATTTTAGTAACATATCAGCACCATATTACTAACAGCGTAAAAAGACTGGCACTCACTAGCAATGCAGATTAGATTACAAACAGGACTTACTGATACTTAGAGAAATTAGTACCAACATTATCTGATATATAAAAAAATATCTGCAAATAAATTTCATAACAACTGAACCTGACAGTCTTTCAAATAAGAAATATACAGTATATATATAAAATGTCATATATATTCTTATCAAAGTCTTGTTTCCATAAACACTAAAATACTAATTAGTTAAAAACTGGAATTACCACTGATCATATGACACAAAAAGTATGTCTTGTCATTACGTTACAATCAAAACTGCACAGCTACTGATAATAAACAGCAGCTACATCTTAGATTCAGCTGTGCAAGTCAAATTGGCTCTGTTTGAGCTTTGAGAGAGCTTAATTCAACTGAGATTCTTTTAGTCAAAAGTTGACCT